AAAGGAGATGCACTCTTGTTCTTCAGCCTTCACCCAGATGCAAAAACCGACCCCTCCAGCTTGCACGGAAGCTGCCCAGTCATCGAAGGTGAGAAGTGGTCAGCCACTAAGTGGATTCACGTTCGATCTTTCAATGCTCGTTTTGATGATGACTCATCAGACTCTAATGGTGATTGTCTCGATAAGGACCCTAATTGCCCAGATTGGGCAGAAAGTGGAGAATGTGATAAGAACCCGCTGTATATGGTCGGCTCTAATGGAGCTGCGGGCTATTGTAGGAAGAGCTGCAAAGCGTGCTCGTCTTAGTTGTTATATAAGATTTTTTTTTTTAGTTTTAGTTTTAGGTTTTTCGGTTTCGAAAGAGAAAAGAGAAGTTGTGAGATTTGTGTCTGAATAAAAATGTCATCTTTACTTTCTGAATAGATTCTCTAGCACTGAAAGTTGATGTTGTAAAATGATTACATTGAATTTTAATGTGTAAGGCTGTTTTACCGAGTCTTTGTGGCTGAGAGAGAGAGAGAGACAGAGAGAGATAATTCACGGCTCAAAAAGAGAATTTTTATATAATTTTCTATAGTTTGACATAAGAGCCAAGCTTGAGTTTGTTTTTTAGCTCTTTTTACTTGGTCTTGGCTCGGCTCAGCTTGTTAAGGCTCGAGTTCGGCCTGGCTCAGCTTGATAAGACTCGAAAAAAAATTATATAGTTTTTTATAGTTTAGTTCGTTAAAGCTTGAGATTGACTCGTTAATATCGATAAACGCATCGAGCTTGAACTCGATTTTTGGCTCGTTTCAGCTTGTTAAGGCTCGGGTTCGGCCTATAAGGCTCGAAAAGAGATTTTTTATATAATTTTCTATAGTTTGGCTCATTAAAGTTTGAGATCGGCTTTAACTCGGAACGTTTATAACCCTAGTCATGACCAAATACAAATAATAATAATAATAATAATAATGGATTAACCAACAAAAACTTAGTCAAATAACCTCATGTTAGTTGCTAAAAGAGAGACCCAAAAATAGAGGAGGAAAAACAGAAGAAGAGGAAAACAGAATAAAAGAAATGTAAAAGCACATATAGACAATTAAACATCATCAATTCATCATCTTCTTCATTAAACTTTCATTGAAAAATGAGCACATTGCAAAGATCATCATATTCGTTCAGGCGGCAGGGCTCGTCTGGCCTCATATGGGGAGACAACAAGATTCCTATTCAAGACATAAAATCTTCGGACAAATCCAAGGATTTCAGTTACCATCCGATTCCAACCTTGGACATGCCAAAGCCGGATTCTGTTGCTCTTCCGGAACCTTCCGGATCTTCATCAGAATCCAAGATTCAAAGGTGTGGTTTTGTTTCCATTTTTGGATGCTGCATTAGATCATCTGCCTCCTAGGAT